TTTATTTTGTGATTCTGTGAACTCGTCGTAGAGGAACAAATATCACATCAATCAGTGTTTAATCAGCTTCTTAAATAATTCATTGACTGTAAAATCATGTGTGTGTTTACACAAAACTGGATCTCTGCTGAACGGACAGAACCAGACACGTAAGGTTATTGATTTATAAGATGAATGTTGCTTATTGAAAAAACGATCAGTGCTGATTGGCTAATGTAGAGTCAGACGTGTTGATCAGCTCGTTGACATCAGCTCCTTTCTTCTTCTTCTTCTTCTCTCTGACCGTTTTCAGTTTAAACTCTTCATGTTGATGCAAACTCTCACATCAGCTGTAAACATAACGGAGCCTCTCTGGCCTCCTCCAGGCCCAGCTGCAGGTGGACGGCGCCCCCTGCTGGTCGGTGCTGCTGCCTGATGAGCTTTGTTGATGTAGAACATCTCTGTGGAGGTCTGATGGTTACAGTACGACCTGCTGACCTGCAGGTTCAGATCCGCTTGTCGTCCTGGTTCTGTCCAGGTCCTGTCCATGTTCTGTCCTGGTTCTGTCCATATTCGGTCCTTCTGTCCATGTTCTGTCTTTCTGTCCTGGTTCTGTCCCGGGTCTAACACCACAGTCTCCACCCCCACACTGACCTCGTGTCCCCTCTGAGCTCGGTCCAGCTCAGCCCAGATCCAGTTGGTTTAAACCCCTGAAGTTTAGCAGCTGGTCGGGTTTCAGTTCGGGGGGTTCTGTGTGTTCCGAGCCGTGGTGGGTCTCAGATTGGATCTTTACGAGCTCAGTTTCTGCTGATCCCTGAGTTTTAATGGATCTCTGAGGGGGACCAGTGATCTCAGGCTCAAAGAAAACAAATGACAGACTGCTGCAGGCTTTGGACCGAAACCCGACACTGGAGCCGGAGAAACAGGAGGTCCAGTAAAACCCCATCTATCTATCTATCTATCTATCTATCTATCTATCTATCNGATTAGACCCTGAACCACCCGGTCCTGGTTTACTGGTCTGGATTAGACCCTGAACCCATTACTGCTATTACTCATACTAATACTACTAATACTACTGCTAGTAATAATACTAATACTACAACGACTACTACTAGTACTACTACTACTACCAATACTACTAGTACGAATGCTACAACTAATACTACTAGTACTAATACGACTACAATACTACTAGTACTCCAAGTACTACTAATACTACTACTACTACTACTACTACTACAAATACTACTACTAATAGTAATAGTCCAATAATACTAATACTAATACTATGAGTACTACTACTACTACTAGTACTACTGCTACTAATACCATTACTACTACTAATACCAATACTACTAATGCTACTAGTACTACTACTACTAATATCAATACAAGTACTACTACTAGTACTACTAATACTAATACCACTGCTACCACTACTATTAGTACTACTGCTACTAGTACTCCTACTACTACTAGTACTAATACTACTGGTAGTAGTACTACTAGTACTACTACCAGTAGCTGCTGCTGATAACAATAACAAAACAACAAATTTCTATTTTAAACTGAACTGAACAACAATAAAAGAAGAATGAATGTTGAAGTTTTACTTCTGAGACTCTTCTTGGATGATGCACAACAACAACAACAACAACAACAACGACAACAACAACAACAACAACAACATCAGACGTTGGACTCTGGAGGACGGTCCGGTAGAACTCGGAGGTCCGTTCCGTCTCATTCTGTCCAACAGTTTCAACAGTTTGTATTTGTCACATGATCACAGCAGCGAAACGTAAAGTTACAAAGAACACGATGAAAACTCACCATCAGTACTGTTCTGTACGCTTCAGAACCGGTCCAGTACTGTTCTGTACGCTTCAGAACCGGTCCAGTACTGTTCTGTACGCTTCAGAACCGGTCCAGTAATGTTCTGTTCTATTCTATTATATTCTACACTGTTCTGTTCTATATTGTTCTGTTCTGTTGTCGTTCCCGTTGTGTCTCTGAGTGTTTCTCTGTTTCTGGGTCTGACCCGTCCTGTCGTTGCTCTTCAGGGTTCTGGTTCTGACCCGCTAGTTTATCAGGCTCTGATCTGATCCGAACTCCTCCATCATGAAGCATCACATGTTCAGAGTGTCACTGTGAAGGCCGCCAAGCTACTGGACCGCTTCAGAACCGGTCCAGTAATGTTCTGTTCACATCCAGACTAATGACATAAACAAAAGGCTTCGGGCGCCCCTACAGCTCACCTGGTTGAGCAGGTGAGCCGACGCAGCGGTCGTGGGTTCGACTCCCACTCACACCCTTTGCTGTCCTGTCTGCTGCTCTGAATAAAGACAAAAACCTTCATGTTCCAAGTTCAGCATTTAAATGTGAAACAAACATTCATACATTCAGAAAACACTGGAGCAGATTAAAGGTGCCGCATAAATACAGATTATTATTATTATTATTATTATTATTATTATCCATCCATCATCTCTACACCTTCATCCTCACCAGGGTCATGGGGGGCGGAGTCTATCCCAGTTGACTGAGGGTGAAGGCAGGTTCACCTGGACAGGTAACCAGTCTATCACAGGGCTACACTTAGAGACAGACAACCAAGCACACTCACATTCACACCT